TGCATGTTCTCCCCGTGTCATGCAGGTGTCTGCACACAATCTGAAGACATGCAGTTGGCACCTCTGAGTTACTCATAGTGTGTGACTGAGTGTATGTGTGTGTGTTGCTTTATATGGACCGGCATGCCATGCAGGTTGCACCTTGTGCCCTGTCCCGCCTGGAATATACTCCAGACCCCTAAGACTCTGAGCAGGATAAACCAATAGGGGATTAATGATGCTGCATAGTTAGAAGGATTAAAATTACAGTGTTGGCTTAACTTAACCTGAAAATTAAATGATGCGTTTATTTTTTTTACAGCCAAAGTGTTTTTCATACCATGTACACTGTTTGTGCCTCTGAATTAATGACTCACATATATCATCTCAGATGTCACACAGCCATTTCTAATTTAGCTGCTTTGCTCCATTGTAGCTCTCTGGTCCCATTCTGGTTTCCCTGGAAGCAGTTAGTAGAGTGGTTAAAGAAGCCTTGAGAAATGTTATCAACCTGAATTAGTCCGATAAACCCATTGGCTAAAGAAATGGGTTGAGTTTTAAGTCGTTCGGCATTACAGTTGCAGTAAATTTTAAAAATGCATCGTTCCGATTTGCCTAATTGATTCTATTACAACTTCTAGACTAAACTCCTATCTCATAAATGATTGCATATACTTGTTGCACACTTAAGCATAACCTTTCCAGAGCACCCAGGGCGTGACAGTAAAGGGGAGATTTGTTATTGCAGCTGGCGTTTATACAACTGACACAAAGGAATTTACCAACTTGAGTTTTTTCAGATAAGAAATATTTCTGCACTGATATCTAGGTTAGGCGAGCGCATTTCTCTAAGCAAGTTCGCCTTTGATGCATGCGCATTGTGCATCTGCCTTTCTCACACACACGTGAGGAATGCGAATGGCCCCTTGACCGCCGCTGCCTGTGCTCTCTCCCGCTCAGTGCTCAGATGCCTCGGCATTCCAACTCGCAGCGTCACCAACTTCCAGTCTGCACACGACACGGACGTCTCCCTGACAACGGATGTTTATTTTGATGAGAACATGGAGCCCCTGAATGACCTCAACACAGACTCTATCTGGTGAGGGTTGCATCACTTTGATGATCATTCTGACAGTGAGATTGTTATATCTGAATGTTACACTAATTCACCATTATGAAGGAGATATACCCCTTAACTATATAAATGCTGATAATTAAGAATTTTCAATGTAGTAAGACCATGATTTAAAAAAAAATACTTGTTCCAAGAATTGTGCCATGAGGAACCCCTATTCGCTTTTGTCATTTGTGCCCTTTACTACGTTACTTTTTTTATAGACCTGTTTCTCTCTCTGTGGCTTTAGGAACTTCCACGTGTGGAATGACTGCTGGATGGCCCGTCCAGACCTGCCCCAAGGGATGGGAGGCTGGCAGGCTGTGGACGCCACCCCACAGGAGACCAGCCAGGGCATTTTCTGCTGCGGCCCAGCTTCTGTGACTGCCATACGCACCGGGCAGGTCTACCTTAAACACGACACGCCCTTCGTGTTTGCTGAGGTACTCTCACTTTTATAACCTCTTTTCTACAGCTTGGGCTTAGTTTGCTCTTCTCTATGATTTTCACATGCATCCAATACTCTCTATTTCTGTTCTACTAAGTCTCAGCTTCTATCAGCTCAACCTCCAGCTTCTATCACCTCTACAGTCATATCAGTCTGATTACACTGCCTGAGTTTGTACCACATTTCTACACCTCTCTTACCTCTGTCATTCTTCTTCTGCATGTTCTCAGTCATGTCCATGTTCCGCTGAAACTGTCTTCTTGTCCCTGGGTGTCCCAGGTGAACAGCGACAAAATCTACTGGCAGAGGAACCTGGATGGGACGTTCAGTCAGGTCTACATGGAGAAGAAGAAGGTGGGACACTGCATAAGCACCAAGGCGGTGGGCTCTGACGATCGAATGGACATCACCAATCTCTACAAGTATCCAGAGGGTAAGTGGAGGGTGGGCTTCTCTGTAGGCTTCACAGTGTTTTGGTGTGGGCGGGGCTTATGCCCCAACTCAATGGCATCTTCCCCATCAGACACAGAAGAAGAGCGCATCGCCGTGGAGACCGCCAGTCGCTACGGCAGCAGGCCTGAGGTTTACGGCATGGCCTCAGCAGAGGACGTGAGCATCGAGGTCACGATGGACGGCGAAGGTCCCCGCATGGGGAATGATGCACAGCTGACCATCATTCTGCACAATAACAGCGCACATCCCCGCCGTACCACCCTTCACAGCCAGGTGGCGGTGATGTACTACACTGGAGTGCTCAAGGGCACCGTCAAGAAAGAGAAGCTTCCCGTTGAGCTCATGCCCAATGAAGGTAAAGAAAAGCACACAAGTATCTCAGTGGTTCTATATGGCAATATATGCATGTGTCTATATATATTTATATATGCAGGACTGTAATGACTGTCACCTTCAGTGATTTATGTAATGCTGTTGAGCTTTTATTTGTGGTGCTCTGGTAGCTCAGCAAGTAAAGTACTGTTACGACTGTGCAAAAATTGTAGGTTCAAATCCCAGGGAATGCACATAAATTGTAACTTTTCCCTAAAAGTTTGAGATAAATCCAAACATAAATTGTGTGGTATGTGAATTCTTAGGTTTAATGATTCTTTGGCTGCTGACAGAGATTCCTGGGGCATTATGGTTCCCCATTCTCAGTGTGGCCCCCGTCCAGCGTGTGGGAGGGCCCCGTATGAGAGGGCTACAGGGCAGTGTTTCCCAGTCGGGTCCTCTTGCAAGAATGTGGACTGTTTGGCAGGGAGCTGGGAGGGAGCGAAGACGCTGAGAGTCTGTGGGTCCGTGAGGACCGGGTTGGGAGAGGGTTGTACCACCTTCATTAAAACTGTGCATCTTCGAAGTCAAATGACCTGTTTCTTAGATGCTCGGATGCCCCACGGTTTCCGCCTCTGTTTGTGTCACCTTGACGGTATACTGGGCCTGATACTTTTCATCTAAAATCACATAATTTAATTTAGGATATACTTCTATTCAAAGCATCATACATTTTGAGAAAGCAAGGTCAGTCGGTCCCTGGAACGATTCGGGGTTAAGGGTCTTGCTCAGCGGCTCGACGGTGAAATCGGCAACCTTCCCATGACAGGCACAGCGTCCTAAGCCGCTGAGTCACATGTTCTCTTTTCTGAGGCTGGAACGCCTTACTTGGTTCTGCTTCAGAGTGACATCCTTCGCCCGTTCCCTCAGCGACTGACCGCTCTGGGTGCAGGGCCAGCCATCTGGGGTACATTCCTAGAGACCCATAGTAACGTCTCTCCTCCCACCCCCTCCCAGTGAAGACCATCGAGTGGACGCTGCCCTACCAGCACTACCAGGATCACCTGGTGGACCATGCGGCTCTGATGCTGACGTTATCGGGTCGCGTCAATGAGACCCAGCAGGTTCTAGCTACGCAGTACAACTTCCGACTCCGGACCCCGGACCTCACGATTACGGTGAGACATGGAGAGCAAAAACCAGGTCGTTCATTCTGTCACCAGTAGGACAACCACGGCGAATCACAGACGGATGCAGATAAGATAATTCTTGGTATGCGTTGAATAATCATACAGTATAGTTTAATCAAATCGTACGAAAAAGACATATGTGTTAGAAGTTGGATAGATGCAATGAAAGATGGAATAAAAGAGGATGGATACATGTAAGGATAGATGGATGGATGGATAGATGGGTGGATGGATGGAGAAAAGGTTACTCAAATGGTATTACGACCTATGGCCGTATGTCTGTAGAAAAATATCCCCCAAACCCTCCAGGGAGGAGAGTTCCAAACTGTGACATGGTGTGCTTTGTCACTACAGCCTATAGGGGACGCTGTTGTTGGCAAAGAGATGGAGGCCAAAATCTCCTTCACCAACCCCCTGCCACGCACACTGAAGAGTGTGGTGTTCCGGGTGGAGGGTCTGGGCCTGCAGAACATCCGGGAGATCGCCGTGGGGTGAGATGCCACAGCCGTGTCTGTCTCCCTTCACCCTTCACCCTTGACCCTTGACCCTCCCTTCCCGTTGTTCCCCCGTGACTCCTCGGTGCTAATGTAGCCTAGTGTTCCTTTTTCCAAATCTAAAAATATTGCTTACAGATGTACAGTACCCTTTCATGTAGATAACATACAGGAATTTAGGGTTAATAACCTAGAGATTCGTCCTTAGAAATAAACACGCATGCAGCATGGTGGACACAGGAAGGTGAAATGACTCACTGTCACCCCTCAGGGACGTGGGTGCCCACTCGAAAGTCACGCTGACGGAGCACTTCGTCCCCACCCTGCCGGGGCCCCGGAAGCTGGTGGCTTCGCTGGACTGCCGGCAGCTGACGCAGGTGCACGGCGTGGCCGACATCGTGGTCCAGGAGATGTGAAGGTTGCTGTCCATACAGCATAACATCATCCCCCCCACCTCCCTGCCCCGCCTTTTCCATCCGAGTCTTTCAGTAACGGGCTGTACAGTGGCATCATGGGAAATGTCACTAAACCAAAACGGTGTTAACTTCCTGCTTTGGCCCCATACCAGGGTAACATGCAGTATTTTATTCCAATCTTGTGTAACCTCGCAGCTGAAAATTTAGACAATTTTCTACTAATCTAAAGGAAACTACAATTTGCTCAAAATCAACAGAGACCTGGCACAAAGAAAGCACACATCCACGGGACTGGTAAAATACATCTATAAATCTTCAGTATTTTTTGGCATCCTGGCTGTTGATCAGTCTAACATTTTAAATCAGCATTGTGCTACTGTGATATTTCTGTTAGCCACTTTTGTGGTGGGGTCCTTATTTTCCCACAAATCCTTGGTGCTGTGAAAATCCGACGGTGATCTAAACAATGACAAACGTCTCCCTGGAAACCCTGTGAAATGCCAAATTACATGGCGCACTGTGACCCACACTGTAGGGACCCAAAGAGAAGATGCTAATTGTGTGAAACCAGGACGTGTGCTACGGGGCACAGATTCCACCCAGAATAAACATGAATGGTAGCGTATAAAACGGAAGAATGTATCTGTGACTCCGGCATAAGTGGTTAAGCGCTAGTTTGGTGCCATTGCAGCAGTCTGGAATGTCAGAAACTGACTGTGACTTCAGAATGTTTACAATAATAGACGCAATTTAATGTAGCAGATTCACGACAAAAGCTGTACAAAGACAGACTTATACTCAGTTTTAGCATTATGATTACTGTTACAACACATACAATTTGTTTGTACTATCAAAACATTGGTGTTCTTGTGACAAGAGAATGACTCATCCCTGCATCTGTATCTTTTGTATTATCATTTATAGTGTAATTTTTTTCAAATTTGGCTTCATTTACCTAGATGACCTTTGTGCTCTTTAAATCAATGCGATTTGTGACGTCAGTATTTTTCACCCGAACATCACTTGCTGTCACTACAGGATCTGAGTCAAATCTGACTGTGAATCGCGCATGCGCCAGCGTTGAAAGCCAAATACAAAAGCAATTAAAAACAACTCTAAACTGAAAAGTAACTCAAAGCAAGCGAAATACAAATATATATATACAGTATATGCGCCCAGTTCCTGTGAGGGGATTTGCCAGTACAGCCAATTTAAGGTAATCATCCATTTTATGATAATAATATCAAATACATGAGCTGGTCCTTAACTATAACTATAATCGGTAAGGGTGCAGGTTTGGCAGGTGGTCTAAAGGTGGTCCTTTATTACTTGAATAGTTTATTGTGTTAATGGTTTAACACGGATGACTCAGATCGGCAGCGCATGCGCGACTCAAATCCTTTAGTGACAGGATATCAGGATGTCATGCGCGCCTCTGCCATGTGATTCCGGCTGTTTTTGAAGTTTCTGCTCTATGTGATAAGAGTAGCCCTGCACTGTATAACTTGCGATTTTCACCACAGTATTATCGTTTAACTGTATTTACGTCCGATTATTTTGTAACATTATATAAAGTATATATACAAGATTGAAAGCGATATTTTTATGGGTATCATGTATGTAAATAAATTACAAATATATGACTTGCTGGGGGATTTCGTAGTTCTGCCACGCCTCGGTTAAAGCTGTTTTCTAATGAAAGTGAATGTCTGTCTTTTTAAGCTTGTTATCTTAAGTTCCCTATGATGAAGACGGCACTTCTGCTCATTTCACTGGCCTCCCTACCCACATTTCCCACATATTTTCCCACGCTGTTCTGCCCTCTTGATCTTGTGGCTGGCTTGCATCAGAACCTGTCGTTCTCCTTGTAAACTGCTAGATGATCCGGCACGGCCAGTGTAGTTTCTGGAAAATCAGTCGGCAGTCTCTTTTGCTGGGAATAAATTGTATTTGCTGTCATTTCTATTTCCATTTTTGTATACCGATTTTTTTTTTTCTTTGTGATGTGAAGAAAATATATTTAATCTTACCACCAGATGGCAGGCTTGGGCTCGTTTGTGAGTTTGTTCCACCCACCTTTTCCTAATCGTTGTTTATGTCCCTCGTTCCCCCTTTCTGAATATCTGCCCCCTCCTAATTCATTCCTTTGATCATGAAAACAAAGATCCAAAAGCACTGTTAATTAATACGGCATTGGACCGTTAACAGCAGCTGCTCCGCGGCTCAGTATGAATCAGCGCGACCAGCATGGTGACGTTTAAGCTCGACGCTCTCCGGCTATCTGCCCGGCAACAGGGTCAGCGTGACACACGGATAATGCATCTCTGCATGCTGACCGGGCTCGTGCAAGCGCAAGGAACACTTAACTTAAGTTAAAATTTAGTCCATACATCCATCTTCCAGTTACTAATCCAATGCAGCACTACCTGCTGCCCCCCCCCCCAAACACATTAACAATAATTCATTTTTCAAACTATCTGACAGTATTAGAACAGCATCAGTTTATTTGTGAGTTTATCCAATTTCCCGAGTCATCCATGAGGTGACCCCAGGAGTCACAAAGGACACACCCTACACTGGAAGTCAGTCCATCTGGCAGTC